GTATGATAAGTTATAGGACATCAAGTTTCTAACTATTTTAAATGAGAGGACAGCAACTTTATAATTGATCAGCATAATAAGAACAAAGAATGTATATGACCACACTGCCTAATACCATTTGTTTGTTTACTTTTGTACAACATATATAAAATTAATTGCATGAATTTTTAACATCTGAAACTATTCAGAAAGGCATTGAAAAATTTCGATGAAGATATTTGAAAATAATTGTCTATTTTAGACCATTTATTTTTGTGTGCAATAAAGTATCAATTAAGACACTGACAGCTCTTCTAAAGGCCATGCATATTGTTAACTTGAGTTTCACAGACCAGTTATTGACAAAGGGGTACGTACAATACTGAAAATTATTGTTTTACAACAAAATCTTATTTCACATTGGTGCATACAATTTTAAATCAGTTGAATACTATTAGTACTTACATATATAACTGATGTATAAGCAATCATTAAATCATAATAAACATTTCTTGTATCTTATAGCTGCCATACATATTGGACTTGGAGAACATCAACTTAATGCATTCTTATCAATTTTAAACATGCCAACAGTGAGCCAAAAAATGTTTGATGAAAGATCAAAAGAGGTTGGAAAAGTGCTGGAATCACTTGCAGAAGAATCAATGGCAGAATGGATGGAAAAAGAAAAGACTTTGACTAAAGAGTGTGTAGATGATATTTATTAATTTATGAAATTTTTTTAAAAATACTGAACAAAAAAAACCAAAAACAAAATGAATTCATTCAATAGTTATTGACATTTAAAGGGATAATATGGCTTCAAAAGTAAAGTCTATGAAGGTATAACTAATGAATTGATGAATTATGAATTATGAAAATTGGAAATTTAAATTTTATTCACTTTATTAAAAAATAGGCCTATGTCTTACTAAAGAATTACATTTTTGGGGATAATTGTATTGTATATTTGAAGGGTTGCTGACTTAAATTGTGGGTTTGATTGTTTAGAAATTGAGTTTATCTAAGGGAGCTACCATTGATTTATATGAGAGGGGGGGTGGGGGGGGGGGGGCTAGGATGAAGTTTTGAAAAAAAAGGCATGATGAGCAACTTAGCAACAAAAAATGGCAGGATGACAATTAGTTTAAAAATGGTCAAGATAAAATAATAAAAAAAGGCAGGACCAATTCCAGTGAAAACTTTGAAAGCAGAACAGAGATTACATCTAAAAAAAAATGCAGGACACAATTTATCCCCCCCCCCCCCCCCCCCACCCCCAAAAAAATCAAATGGTAGCTTCCTAACAATCCATAGAAGCTAGATAAACATAGAAGCTAGATAAAAATAATATTTGAGACAGAAAAACTATAGAATTACTATGAGAATATCTCTTAAAAGCAATACAGCTATAACCATTCTAATGAAATACCAGAAAAAGTTCATTTGGGCTTATCATGACGTCATATAATAATTTTCACTGTAAAAAGGACACATCTACTAAAATGAATTTTAATGATTCAATGTGGTGGCTCATTTAAGGTAAAACCCTTATCTACAACTAGTCTTTTAGGTGCAAAAATCATTTTATTTCCAGAAAGACACATACAATCACAAATAGACAACTTTCATGTTGGATTAAACAATTGGACTTATCAACTTAGTCATTGATACAAATTATGTTTAGTGTTTTATTTACAAATTTATTTAATTTTAGATTTGGAGGAAATGAAAACATAACAGTGTGTGTAGATGCAGGTTGGCAGAAAAGAGGAAGTGGCAGGGCATATGATAGCCTTACAGGTACATTATATTTAAGAAAATAATCCCTGAAATATAATATATAGTTATAGACCAGACATACAAGAAAAGTTTACATTACAATCAAAAACCATATAACTATAAAGTAGGCTTTAAACAAACATAGATATTACAACAACATGTAGTCACAAATCTCATAAGAAATCTTTTATTGTAGCCATGTGTGCTTGTTTTACCATGGACAAGACATTAATTGTACATATCTGCTATGATATTATCCTGCTCAATAAACAAAAAATGTCACAATCTAATTGTATACATTTTTTAATTAACAACTGAAGGTAAAAAGTAACATACACAATTGGATATACTGACAAAATTCTATGAATAAGTAGCAGTATACTGATTTAATTTTATAAACCTATCAACATGATCGAGGTGCCCTTTAAGGGACAGAAAAAATACAATGGTACTATTCATAACATAATAAACAAACTAAATAAAAAAAAAATAAGACATTTAATGGTTCATTAGAGTTATAATTGTATTTATTGTATAAAAACTTTGAACTTAATCATAAAAATAGAAATGCCAACATTATAATGATATCAAGCTAGATTTTGACAAAGAGAGACAACTCCCTCATTTTCATATTTCAGATGTGGGTTTGATTTAGTAATGAATCTTGATTGTTTGTTAGTTCTAATATAATAATATTTAATATAAGTTTTCTAACATAAGCTATCTTCATTAGTCATTAACCATAAACATTTATTCTCTGAGGAAAGCTAATTGATATTACTTCCAAGTTTCCCCCTCATGCCAATTCTTGAATTTTTAGTCCAACTCTATAAATGCATATTGACAGAATTTTAGGTGAAATTTTCTTGTTTAAAATTATTTAAAAATTTTCAAGGTCCGATAGAAATATTTGAGATTGAATATTAGGTCCAAGGACACAGTTATCGTCCTTTGGTTTTCGTTGTCTACGAATATAGTCCCTAGTGTAAACAGTGTATAACTTGCTATTTTTTTCATACACTTTCCCAATTTATTTCTTGATATTTGATGCATGATATATTAAGTAAGGGTGTGAAATTACATGTTAAAAAAATTTGTCTGCTGAATCTTTATGTTAAGTAGTGATTTGGTCTAGTGAAAAAAGGTCAAAATTAGTATGTCTGAAACTGTCAAACTGAATTTTAGACCCCCTTAACATAGAATTGTCAATATTTTGAGTTAGAGCTGGTAGAAGTTTCTATAATTTTGATATTATTTGTCCCAATAGTAGTACATTACACTGTAAAAATCTTTTTGAGATAGAGCAGGTGCGATTTTTTTAATTTGAATTTATTGTATAAAAGAAATGTACTACGAAAAAACTGTGTTCCCTGGCCATATGTCTATTATAGAAGAGATTTAAGGTTTAAAAGGAATGAAAGATTTCCTAAATATATAAAGCTTTTGAGTCTTTATTATGAATATATCAAGCTTGGATATCTTTTTTTAATAGGACATTGTTCAATGATTGGAGCAAAGTCCCGCAAAATACTTGGTTATAAATGGAGGTCATAAACTTGCAGGATATGCGAGGTAGCCAGTAGAAAAGGAAAAATACCAAAGGTTCATCAGTGCAGGAAAAATTGTGGTGGGAGTGCAAAAGCCATGGAGCCAGATATGGTAATTGACCTAGTCAGAGAAGCTAGATTAAAAGGTACGAACGTCTGTACTATTGTTGGGGATGAGGACTCTACTACAATTGCCAGAATAAGATCTAACGTAGATAAAAACATAATAAAGCTGTCAGACAGTTATCACATCAAAAAAACATTAGGTAAAAAACTTTACGACTTAAAAAATAAACATCAATCATTATCAACTAAAGTGATAAATTATGTCGTAAAATGCTTTAATTTCTTGGTGGCACAAGGAAAAGGTCAACCAGAAAAAATTTGTCAGAGTCTGCCAGCATTGGCTAAGCATCCATTTGGAGACCACAGTGACTGTCATACTGATTGGTGTAGGTTTATTGAACAGAGTGGACTTAAGTACAGATCATTGCCTTATGGTAAACCGTTGTCTGATACGGCACTACAGGCATCATTGAAACAATTTTTTTTTTCAAATTATGCTGAACATTCAAATAAACTTGCCAACTTAGAAAGTACTCAAGGAAATGAGAGTTTCAATAAAACTGTTGCTTCGAAGGCACCAAGTCAAAACATTATGGTGGCTCAGGAAGCCTAGGTTACAGAATAGCTGCAAGTGTTGTCCAAAAAAATAGAGGTCACATATACACAGTTGATGTAAGAAAATTCAGTTTTGATTTTTTTTAATGCATGCTGTTGGTTACAAAATTAAATTGAACATTTTGAAATACAATTTCTTTCTGGCTTCTGTTCACTGACACAAATTATAAGGCCATCTTGTCATTCCTTAGCATCTGTTAAAAGTCTAGTACTATCCAGAAAAGAAAGAAAGGGCATTGTTATTTAAATGTCACTCTAAGTTTCATGCAGTCCCTATAATGTTCATGATGTTAGAATTATTTACAATTAAAAAAAAAAGTTTATAAGATGTACCCCAGAATGGTCAGTTGTGGGTCAGGGTTTTAAAGTTAAATTGCATTTCATTGTAAAATATTTGTTCAAGTTCTCTTTCCTTCTTCAGAATATACTGAAATGCATTCTTTGTATATTTTTTTCTCTCCCTAGACCTGGCATTATATCTAATTGAATTCAAAACAGAAAATTGCATGATTCTTGGAAAGAGTGGCTCTTGAAAATAGTTTACTTTTTTTATATTTTTTTCTTTTCTATTGATTAAATACAGCCATAAATTTTAGAATATGTTTGTTTTCTTTCTGAAAATACATGAAACTGCTGTGACAACTGTAATGTGTTGAAAATCATGCATGACTTGTTGAAAGATATGTAATATTTTTTTCATTATCAAAGTTCCTCATAGTCTCTTAATATCTGTTCATTCATGTATGAAATTTTATTACTCTAACTTATGTTTGAAATTAATGAAAGTTAATTAATTTACACAAATACATATATGCATTGCAATACTGACGAAATTATATGACACAAAATTATAATAAAACATATATTCTTTTATATAATATTTTATTTTTCAGGCTAATGTATCTGCAGGCCTATCACCTGGGGTCCACACAAAAAAACTGTCCACATTACGGGACTTGCAGGCAAAGAAAAGAAAGGCAATAGCAGTGACAAAGAAAGCAAAACTGCAGAGAATCCAGTTGAAGTCAAAGCGGTATAATTTTTATTTTATAATTCATTAAAAATGCAGGAGTCAGAATTTCACATTAAACTTGACAGACATGATGCTGAATCAACCAAACTGCTAAATAACCAGTCACTAAGTGCTCCGAGTGATTTAATTTTTAGAAAAACTAATTGTCCCTGTCCCAAAAATTGGTTTTCGTTCTCCAACTTTAGTTTGCCTCAACCAAATGTGTAATGAAACTTATACACAATGCTTATTACCTTAAAGTTCGAAATTGGGTGGCATCACTTTTACCGTTCATGAGTTATGCCCCTTTATAAACATAAAAATTGCTGAATTTTTCAACTGTTTTCCAACTTTAGTTTTCCTCATCCAAATGTTAAAGACTTATACACAATGCTTATTACCACAAAACACAGATCAAGTTAGAAATTGGGTTGTGTCTCGTTTACCTTTCTTGAGCTATGCTTAGTTATAAATAGAAACTTTGATAAATATGTCTTTCCCGTTCTCTAACTTTAGTTTTCCTCAACCAAATGTAGAAATATATTTCATTAACTTTTAAAAGAAGTAAAATGTCAATAATTAGTACATTAACTCATGCATATTTACAAGCGGTGGCATCTGTTGCCCATAAGACACATTCTCCATTTATTTAGAAATATAGTTTAAATAATAATTAAGGGTTCTGCAAATAAAAATTAACACCCAATTTCTGTTTGCTGTAGATTTAATATTTGAATGATCAATCTATTATTATCCTACTACCATGACTTAAGATTATATACTTTTATAAATCTATTTATCTCTTTCACAGTCACCAAAATACTTCAAGTTGTGAAGTAAGAGAAGGGGTGTGTTATGAAGAGGGCACAGCACTAGGAGTTGAACCGGATATAACAGAAATACCTGCACCAGTTCAAACAGTGACCAATCAGTCCATGCCTCTAAATTTGTCTAGAATATATTTTGACATAGAAGCTACTGGGCTTAGTAAGTATTATATGTTTATCTTGCAGTAAAACATTAAATGTGATTTAGGTCTAAGACAGGGAATATAATGTTGCATTTCCAGCAAAGGGCTATATTCCCTGATCCGAATTGAAAGGGATATGTTATAAATCATGAATCTAATTCTATCAAAATGTATAATAAACAGATCAATACATGTCAAAATCCGTATCGCATGCTGTATCACCATTGGCCCTCGGTATTGATATTGGTTTCTCGTGGTGATACAGTATGTGATAAGGATTTTGCCATATATTATTCTATATGTATTGAAATTAAGAATACATCCCTAATCATTATGAAGACAGCTTATTATAGAATGCCCTAGGTTTTTTTATCAAGGTCAGCTAGTGAGTCAACTTCAAAGATCAAGTTTTCTGTAGAGTTGACTCTATTCGAAAGTCTGTTTGTTGATGGCACTCAATAACAATAGTCACTTGCCGCATTTCAACAACTTGTGAAAGATAAAACAAGAGGCTGTCAGAGAGACAGCAAACCGGATTTTCCTACAGAGGTCGAACCCTGAACAGTTGAGCAAGTACGGACACAACATTTAAGCTTAAAACAGCTCTGAATTTGGATTGTGATTGAATATTTGATACAGCATAGGTTTGTGACACAAAATAAATGTGGTCAAAGAACTGAAAAATTTTAAATTGGACATTTACCTATTATGGTCCAATATCCAAAATATATGTAAATTGCTAGAAACAGCATATCAAGGAACCCCAAGAATTCAATTTTTGATGAAATACTTCTTAGTTAAACCATTTCTGTTCAAAGGGAAATAACTTTATTTCCATGAACCAATAATGTAAATCTAAAATTAGTTATGATTTAACTATAATTCTCTAAAATTAGATATGATTTAACTATAATTCACTAAAATTAGATATGATTTAATCATAATTCTCTAAAATTAGATATCATGTTATATTTATTTTCAAATTATAATCTAATATAATTAATAGTTTTCAAATAAATCTGTCACCACAATTATAATTGGGTGATTAACAATTAACAGATGGTGTGTTATCTTGATAAAAGGTGAAAATCATTTAAAAACACTTAATGTAATCAATTAAACTTTATATATATCATGTATATAGTTAATAGTTCCCAATAATTTTTCTTTCATTTGTATCAAACTGATATAGATCTGCAACTTATCTATGAAATTCTACAACTTTATCTACACAATGTAATGTAATGAAATATATCCTTCAATAAAAATAGATTATTATCTAATGAATTTGCAAATCTGGAACCCCAAACAGGATCAAGTAAAAATTAAAATTAACACACACAACAAATATAGCATTCAGAAAATTACTTTATACAGAATAACAAACAAACCTACCACAAAATTCTTCAAACAATTTACCAAAGAAAAGAAAAAAAAATCCAAAATGTCTTTTATCATTAATACAATGTCTTTTAAAAAATGAGTTATTTCCCTTCGTACAGAAATGGCTTAATTCATCAAAAATAGAATTCTTGGAAAAAGGCTATAACTGACTAACGAGAAAAGCTAAAATCGTGAAAAATTGAACTTGACCTTCATTTAGTCACAGGAAACAACATATCTAAATTTGAAAAAAAATTTTTTAAAGCGTTTTCATGTAATTGAACAGACACTGTTTGGCAGCCGCCCGCCAAACATCGCCAAATCAATAATCGATTTTTACTTCAAAAACCGGTTAAAAAAATAATTAGATATGCTATAACAGTCAACAATGTCTCACAATTGTTCTAAGTAATTTATACGAGTTTTGATATATAATCACATGCCATTCATTTATGGCTTTAAAACAATTATTATTATTATGCAACACATATTTTTCTATGTTTATGAAAAAAAAAATCTTTGCAGGTAGAACATCACACATATTACAATTATCTGCCAAAACGGATGAGGAGATGTATACTTCATTTGTATTACCATCATGCCAAGTAACACAGAAGGCTGCTGAAATCACAGGAATTACGTTTGAGAATGGTCAGCTCTTGTTTAAAGGAAATGTTATGCCAGCTGTTGGTATCAAAAAGTGTTTGAACGATTTTATTTCTTTTCTTGATAAATCACAAAATAATGTTATTATAGGCCACAATATATGTAATTATGATTGCATGGTATTATATACAGCTTTAGAAAAATGTAGCTTACTTGATAAATTTATGACCAGTATTTCAGGTTTTGTAGATACATTATTATTATTTAAATCTTCTCATCCAGGCCTTAGTTCCTATTCTCAACCTAATTTATTTCAAACATTATTGGGTCAAACTTATGATGCTCACAGAGCTGATGAAGATGTAGATGCACTGTATACACTTGTACATAAAACTGTTGTAAATAATTGTCATTTTGAAAAAGTATACTTGTCAAATAATTTTATATTAGAAAAATACTTATATTTGAAAGAGCTTCAGAAAAATCTGCCTTCATTGAAATTGTTAGTTGACAATAAAATACTGTCTATAAGTATGGCACGAATTATTGCCAAGAGTGGTCTTTCCTTGCAGCATTTGAAGCTAGCCTTTTCAAGGAATGGTGCAAAAGGGATAAGAGATATTTTTACAGAGAGCTGTGGGTCAGGTGTACGTGTTACAAAATCTCAGAAGATAATAAACAAAGTTTCAGAATTTTTACAAACACTCTGAAATCTCAAAATTTGCAGATTGTTTAATATTTATGTATGTAATATAAAAGTATGCACATTATCTATTTTCAGAATGTAATGAATTCTTTACAAAATTACAAGTTCCTGATATAAATAGGAATGATCAACATAAAAAATGGGTAACATATGGTGCCTGGCTAACTGCTCTTATTATACCCTGTGCAGTTTTTAATGTTTTTTGACCCATCAGTCTGTTTGTCTGTCAGTCCGTCAGTCTTGTCATCAAAACTCCTCTCAAACCACACAACAGAATTTCATGAATCTTTATAGATAATAAGGACATACTATGTAGATGTGCATATCGACAGGAAATTATGATTTAATTTTTGTTCTAGGAGTTATGCCCCTTTGCACCTATTGGCCTAGTTATACTACTGCAACAGTTTGTCATCCCACCTCCTCTGAAACCACACAACAGAACTTCATGAAACTTTGTAGATAATAAGGATATACTATGTAAACGTGCATATTGACAGGAAATTATGATTCAATTTTTCAATGTATAAATTAGTTTTATGTATACGCCAACCCTAACAGTGGGGGGCTTTATTGCATTCACCCTGTCCGTCTGATTGTCCAACAAACATTTCTGTCAAGCTTTTCTGAGAAACCGTTTAATGAAAGGACTATATTAGTTCAGCAGCTTACAATGATGAGTTCTAATGCATTTTTCAAATTTTTTGATTATATACCTTCTGAATTTCAAAATATTTTGAATGAACGTGAAACTTTACGTTCTATACTTTTTCAAGTACTGATGAATAGCCTTACAGAAAAACTGATTGTTGAACTCTGCTTTTATGAACTTTCATGGTTTTGTCCAACTCCTTATACAGTTAGGTTAGTCTGTTTCAAGTTCGAAACTTTATGCAACCTATAGCTAGGGTGTTTGTACCAATGTCAAATAAATGATGTGTGCATACATGTATTATTAAATCAGAGTCCAGATTTTATTTATACTGTTACCTATGCTGGGACTTAATTATGGGTATAAGTTATAAATAATTGTTATTGCTTGTTCATAATTACATAAAACTTGACAAAGAGTTATCTTACTTGATATATGTTAAATCATTATTTTTGAACAAACCCTGATGATTTGCATTTCTGACAATGGTCATTGAAGAACAATATTATACTCTTGCTTTAACATGAATAGTGTATTTAATTACTAGATTTATCACTCATACTGTAAACTACTAATAACGTATGTACTTGTAAATTTGGCATCAAATTAAAAATTCTCTATGACCACCATCATAGTAAAATTATTATATTGAAATGAGGCAATATACTCAAAAGAAGTTTTGTTCATGTTAATTATATATTATTTAAGATAAGTTTTAAATTACTACTCACAAAAGTGATCTTTGATTTTTTTTTATAAACAGTATAGAGGAAAAAAGTCAAAATTTTAAGATTTTCCCGTACTTTTTTATCAAATATTTTAGGTTTTTATCACTGTTTATCGGCATCATTCAAAATTTTTCATACCAATCTTTTTTTTTCTCCATAGATTTTAAGAATAAGAGTTAATACACAATTTCTGTAATAACTGTCAATTTCTTGTTAGTATAAAAGGTGCCTTTCAAAGAATTTAGTTGAATGATATACAATTTCCCGTACTTTTTGTAAATTTTTGGCTCGAATTCAAAATTATGCACACAGATATATACTTTTTTTTTATAAATTTCAAGAATATGATGTAATACACAATTTCTGCAATAATTATTAATTTATTGTTGGTTTAAAAGGTGCTTTAAAAAGAATTAAGTTGAACATTATACATTTTCCCGTACTTTTTGTTATTTTTTGGCCCTAATTCAAAATTTTGCACACGGACCTATACTTTTTTCTTTATAAATTTCAAGATTAAGACCTAATGAAAAATTTCAGAAATTATTGTAAATTTCTTGTTATTTTAAAACGATGTTTCAAAGAGTTTTGTTGGATGTCATATGTTTTCCCGTACTTTCTTGTTTTTTATGAAATCAAGCAGGTAAATAACTGTGACAAATGACTTGTTTACAAAAAACTTTGTGTAAAATGAAACAATGACATGTTTTTCAGCATTATTTAAATAAAAAGTGTTCATACTTATTGAAATGATTGTTTTTTGTTTCTTCAAATGTACATATACAGATTTCTGGAAAAGGCAGATTTTTATCAATAAGCCATAATCATGAACAATATAGGGCTGCGGTACGGAAAAATAAGCACACGGACCTATATATTTTTTTTTATTTTTTGACTTGCCTATGAATGAACTCTAAAAAAAACCACATAGGAAAACTTTCTTGTTATTTTGAATTTGAGGAGCAAACATCCTTAAATCAAATTGAAAACTGATTACGGAAAATAGGTTTCACTCATAGGGTCTTTCATCGGAAATAAACACATTTATTCTAGAAAAAGTTGTTGGCATGATACGGGTTATGTTCTTCTTATATATGTTATGATGGTATGATACTAAACCCCTAACGGGAGGGATTGTACTTGATTTTCATCTGATGAAAACATAATCTTTCAATCAGTTTAATGGAGGTTTGGAGCTGGCATGTCAGTAACTGCTAGTAGTCCTTTGTTCTTTTATGTACCATTGTCATTTTGCTTAGTTTCTTTTGTTACCTATTCTGACATCGGACTCGGACTTCTTTTAAACTGAGTTTAACTGTTAGTATTGCTATGTGTTTCTTTTTTTCTACATTGACTAGAGGTATAGGGGGAGGGTTGAGATCTCACAAAACATGTTTAACCCCGCCGCATTTTTGCGCCTGTCCCAGGTGAGGAGACTCTGGCCTTTGTTAGTCTTGTATGTTTTTTAATTTTAGTTCATTTATATGTTTTGGAGTTTAGTGTGACGTCCATTATTACTGAACTAGCACACAATTTTATCTAGGGGCCAGCTGAGGACCACCTCCGGGTGCGGAATTTTCTCGCTGCATTGAAGACCCATTGGTAGCCTTCGGCTGTTGTCTGCTCTTTGGTCGGGTTGTTGTCTATTTGACATATTCCCCATTTCCATTCTCAATTTTATTGATTACATTTTACGATTAACATCATATTAATCGTAAAATGTAATCAAACCTAATTCCGTATTTCATGAGTTACAATTTATGACTAAAATCAGCAAAGAACCATCGCAACAACATCTGATACAAAAATATATTAACACTATTAGATAATTTGATGAAATATTGGCTCTCAAAATTAACGATTGCAGTATATACACTTAACTCATTTATCCTGCTGAATTGACTTTAAATAAAACTAATATTACCAATGACAATGTCCTTGCTTGGATCTTGGTATCTATATCTTCAACGGGAAGCTTATTGCAAAACATTATGATAAAACAGATGACTTTTCATTTCCTATTTTTAATTATCCATTTTTAGATGGAGACGTTTCTTTGTCATCGTCTTATGGTGCTTATATATCTCAACTTGTTCGATTCGCTCGTGTATGTAACAACTTTAACCAGGGTTTTCGATACCACAAGCTAGTTATAACATTAAATAAATGTTATCATCGGAACATGGACCTCAATCGAAAATATATTTCAACATACAGAAATCTTATACCTTTAGGTATTTCACATCTAAACTTTTATAGTAATATTTTATGCAAAGCACCCACATGTCGGCATTAACATCAAAAGCAAACAAAACCTCCAAATAGACTTATTGAGAAGGGATATAATTACGCTACTGTTTTCAGGTCATTGAAGATGGTGTATTTTCGTATTTATATTGATTGACTCATAGGGTCTTTGCATCGGAAATAAACATATTTATTCTAAAACCCGTTGTTGGCATGATACTTGTTATATTCTTTTCATATATGTTATGATGTTATGATATTGAACCCCAAAAGGGAGGGATTGTGCTTGATTTTGATATCATGAAGACATACTCTGTAATCAGTTAGATTAATGTCTAGAGCTGGCATGTCAGTAACTAATAGATGACCTTTGTTAATTTATGTATTATTGTCAATTTGGTTAGTTTCATTTGTTACCTATTCTGACATCGGATTCGGACTGTTTGTGAACTGGGATTTACTTTGTATTGCTTTGTGTTTGTTAATTCTATTTTGACTAGAGGTATCGGGGAGGGTTTAGATCCTTACAAAACATGTTTAAGCCCGCCACATTTGTGCGCCTATCCCAAGAAAAGAGTCTTTGTCCTATGTTAGTCTGGTATGTTTGGTTTTGTTTTACATT